AATACTTGTTACTTTCTCATCTTGCTGAACATACATGTATGTACATGTACAAGCCTAGTGCTGCAGTCTGGAGCAAGTGTCTACAGGAACTACATTGTATTCACTATCAGTGCTTATGTAACCTGGAAAAATGGCACGCTTCAAATAAGGATAAAAATAAAAAAGAGACTCAAAGAAAATATAACACTTTGGAAACTCGCAAAAAAAATTACTTTCAAAAGGATAAAAGGGAGGAGTTACAAGAAATCTAAAAAAATTGGGATGCAGAAGCTGAAACTTGGTTTCAACAAAATCTTTTATTTCTTCTCAAAAAACTTTTTTTAAAGAGAGAAGTAATTACAGAACTAGAAAAAAGCAAAACGGGACCGTGTAGGACATGCAACCAAAAATCAGATTTAAAAATTTAGGCAAAGACTTGAAAATCAACCAAAACAATTCCGCAAGTACCGATAAAACTTAAAATGTAGAAGAAATATGAACAAAATTAATTTCAAATAAATTAGACCAGCCCTAGACCAAAGAAAACCACCACAAAATCAAGGTAAACCTTAACCAAACTAAAAACAAGACCAATCCAAAAAAACAAACAAACACAGCACTTAAGAAAAGTTACAGATCAATTCAACTCAAGTGTTAACTACCAAGTCCATTGCCAGGTCTGAGCTTTCAGGGCAGAACTTGTGTGGTAGTAAATAGGTGTGTTACTCCACCTGCTGCTGACCTGCTTACTGAGACATCATCAAGTAAACGATTTGGGAGGGGGGCCACAATGCAACTTTAGGATGGGTAGACTGGGGGGTGCTACTATTTTACAGTGCATGGACTTTTGCATCCAGTACAAAGAAAAATACTAAGTTAAATCCGCCCCTGCTACACTTACAAAAGCATTTTGGTGTGTTGTTGATGTAATGAACCAAAGAAACCTTGTGTGATTTCTCCACCTGAACTTAATCCAAGTCATGCTCCTGCACCAGAACACAACATCACTTCAGAGCACCACCACCTCCGATGATGACATCATGACTCAGAGATTGATGACAGTGACAAGTGCTGTGTTTTCCACTGATTTCGACTCATTGAACATGCAAACTCCATCAATTTAACATCATGGGCCAGTGTATGTTTGAAAACTACTGTGTTGATATAAGTGAGTGGAGTAGTGAGTTCAACTGAAAATGCATGTATTATGCGTGCAGGAATGCCGTCCAGCCCTCCAGAGGTCTTTTGTCAAATCTTGGCCATGACATTGTGAACTTCCCATGGGAAAACTTGGGCCCTACTAATCTTTCAGTGATTGGTTTAAAGATGGCCACGCTATTGAACAGCCAGCGGTCACTCATATCGTTTGTCCATGTTCAGAAGTGTTGTAAAAGACCCCAAAATGTTGGAAATTAATCCTGTACTCTTAATTTATGTGTCTTTGTGTAAAAGAAATAAATGACCTTTTTTTCTGCAAATTTTCCTAGAGACACAAATACTAGAGTTTGTGTCATGAGTCTCTCCCAAAAACTCAGAAGTTTTCGTGTCATCTAACAGTTTGCCATCTATCGTCTAACTCACCAGGTCACATCAGTTGAATGGTCTACATGTATGTTGTCAGCAGTATGGCAACCCCACCAATTACAATGTGGCTCCCATCTCTTTCTATTCAGTTTCCTTTCGCCCTCAAATGAAAGAAAAATTACTATTGGTTGTATGGTGTGTTGATGATGTTCACCAACTACAGCATGTCTCTTATTTCATACGTCATGTGGACAACATATTACATGCACTGGAAGCAGTTGTCGGGGTAGTAGAAATGTGTTTGTGAGGGAGGGAGTGCGGTGGCGTCAATGTGACCATAAAAATATTAATGTTTATCATGAAAAAAAATCATTTTAACCTCATTTGGGGGGGGACTTGTTAAAGTTGATTCCTTTTTTGGGGGGGGATATTCTTTCTGAAAAACAACTGACTAAAATGCATGTGCACGTCCGTCTTATTGCACTTGCTCTGATCAGCCTATTATAACTCCCAGTCCCCTGTACAGTGGCACAAGGGGGTGTAGCCTCGATCATCCAGAGCTATTTTAGGGTAAATTTCGGTCCTCTCCCCTGCAAAAATTCATAATGCTCCACTTGTTAAAGTCCCATCTTTGCCCTCAGTAAAATGATCCCCCCGCCCCGGTAAAATTTGGGCAAAGCTGAAGAAATACTGTTGAGAAATCAACCAGAGGGCCTGAGAAAGTGGAGGAATGTCATTTGAAAAATGGTTGTCGACAAACTTGAGAACATTCAGTTTTTAGGAATTGAGTTTGATTTTAGTGGATAATTAAAAATATAATTGTTTAATCTACTAAAATTTTTAAAAAATCAGTCAAAATCAGAAGGATCCGAAAACTCTTTTTTTTTTTTTTTGTTTAGGAGGCCTCAGGGACTTTGGTTGCCCACAGCTGGGTCTCTGAATTCGGTTGACTTTACACTGTTTTCAATGGGGCTGGAGTTAGTGCAGTGCAGCCCCAGCAGCTTGAACACCACTTTTTGTACAATTTCTTGCGAGAGCAAACATGAGGTACCTACATGTATAGCTCTTGAAAATGCTCATATAGGAATTTTAGACCATGAGACCAATTGCAGCTATTTCTTGAATAGTCTAACATTTTTACTCACCAATCTTTCATTTCCACCTGACGAAAATCGCACCGTTCATGCCATTTTCGTTTACTACATTGCACATGCATTGGGTGGGCCAATGGCAAAGCTTGCTCCACATTTCGGCTCAACCATTTTCAGAGGCAGGAGGATGGTACTGGTATATTCTTCTTGTTCCGCGACCATCTTTACCATGTGACTTGTAAGCTGATACCACCAGGATGCGTGATATACGCTGTGCTTTGTTACTGTGACAGATTGCAAGATCTTAAAAGTCATTGTCACTTTGACATTTCAGGAATGTGTGCTGTAGCCAGCTATTGCTGAAGCGACTGACACCCTGTGTGACTAAGCAGTAAGTACATTGTACACACACACACGTTGCATTGTTGGAGTGTTCCTTTTGACAGTGTATGAGAATGCTTGTAAATGAGTTGAAACCAAGCATACTGGTTCACCAGACAGAATATTGTATTGGACAGTTAGAGAATCACTGGGACAGCTAGAAAGTAGTGAAATGTAAAAACATGAAATATAACTTTAACAATTGAGACCCCTCAAATGCAACCACAAAGTTTCAGAGGACTTTGCAGGGTTTAGGAAGGTATAGCCCCAGGCACTCGTATTTTATATGGGATGTTACGCACCTTGCCAGTTCAGTTACCAAGACTTAAATTCGCCATGGGAGCAGTGGAGGATTTGTTTGAGGTCTGTTTTTCACACAGATATGGATCGCAATCAGTGATCCAAAAGCTGGTTCACGCTATCCATTAGTGCTCTAGTGTCAGTGAACTTATTTAGGATCGCTTATCATGACAGAGATCCATGTGAAACAAATGCTGGATTTATGACACTTACAACCACAGATTCGTCAGGAGCTCATGCTGGTGTAATGTGCAGTATTTAAAATTAAGATCAGACTGTTGTAAGACTTGAATGTTTATACATGTATGCTTTTGTTCTGTTTCGCTTTCAACTGTACAATTTGTATAGTATCCAGTGTTCTTTGAAGTCAATAATGTTAGTATGAATTCTGAAAATACATGTACATGTACATGTGTACTAGTGCTACATGTACATTATGGTCTGTTGTACCTCTGTCTTGGAACTGTCCACTCATTGGCCCAGAATTATTACATGACAGGGCAATATATTTGCATATCACACTCACCATGAGACGTTTCATTCTGGCAATTGCACATGCATGTTCATGCGCAAGAGACAGAAGAGCTTCGAGAAGTTAGAGAGCGGCCGTTGTCACTCATTTAGTCAGTTTTGCATGGTACCAATGATATGTCATGTGCATAGTTACCAGAAATTCAATCAGTGGTCGCGCTGATATAACAGACTCATTCCTGTCCCTGGAGCATACTGGTATAAGGTACCACTAACCAGACTACATGAAGTGAACGTGTACTCACTGATGCCCACACTGCTTTCACATTAAGGTTTACGCAATTAAAGAAAGGGAGATGATATCATTTACATATACATCTATTATGTTAATTATACAGTTTGACAGTAGGGCTATCGTCTTTGCAACGTCTGAAATTCATAGCTCATTTCTTTGGATAAATCCCGCAGCCTCAACATAGTTAAGACACAGGTGTGACCAAAGAAAATTTTGACCACTGTGATGTACAGTAGGATATGAGCTTTTGAACACGCGAGGGATGCATAGTGCCCCGAGGCAAAGCCGAGGGTGCTATGTATGCTCAGGGGTGTTCAAAATGTCATCTCACATCACAGCAGTCAACACTATTACTGTATTTACTGGTAGAAAAGAACTTTCAAAAGTCATGCAGATACATGTATGTAATTGCATACATGTACTGTACATCCACATCCTCATTTCAGTGGATTCTTTCTAAATGTGATTTAGTCGATGGTAATTGTGAAAGGTTAGTCAAAAAGTGCCCTAAATACAAGACTAGCATTAGGAGATGCAGTCACATGTGCACATTTTTAATCAAAAATCGGTTTCTTTTGTCTGAGAATCTATGTTTGCAATGCTCTATCTTTCCCTTATACATGTAAGCATTTCATCTACCTGTTTTTTTTCTTCCAGTGTTTCTTCTGTGAGCACTTGGAAAGAAGAACAAAACAAATTCTTGAAGAAAAATGAGAAATTGAATCGTCCAGTGTCACCACACATCACCATTTACAGGTACATGTAACAATATTTTTTTCTTTTTTTTTTTGTTTTGAGAGAAATTGCCCACAAGTCATGCCCCATCCATAGTTTCGCCAATCAAATATTACAGCAACTACTGGGCTAATCATGATAGCCTCATTTAAACATTTTTTTTGCAATTAAGTGGAGTAATAATTATTGCAGGGAAAGATAATTACAGTTTGTAGCAGTCTGATGACTTTTTGGCTTTTACCCTTTATGCATTGATCAGCAGACCTTATCTCAAAACGGCATGCTGCTAAGAGATACCACTAAATGAGCGCAGAAGTAAATAAACTGTCCTGATAAGTGACAATAAGGAAGCCCAGGACATACATGTAGCTTTATTTGCAGGGGTCCTTCCCCCCCCCCCTGGACCAACCGTAGTAGCTAAGTAACACACACTCACTGCCCTCCCCCAACCAACCATAGTAGCTAAGTAACACACACTCACCGCCCTCCCCCGACCAACCATAGTAGCTAAGTAACACACACTCACCATCGTAGATGCAACCACTCACTGAAGGTAGCAAGGGTCAAACAGGACACATACATGTAGGTTCCAATTGTATTAGTATTCAGTGGTTTATTACTCATTGTCTTGAGGGGAATGCAGAGAATCTATCCAGTGAGTCAAAATCCTAGGAGAGCTCTTCCTCGATTATACATGGATGTTCTGAAAAAAAAAAGAGAGTTTATATTACTTTTTTTCTCTGCCAGGTTTCCATTGCCTGCACTGCTGTCAGGTTCACATCGTTTCACAGGACTTGGAGTTTATGCTGGTAAGCATACACCACGCAGTATGCTCGTATGTGGTTTGTGAGCATGTTCACATGTGGGTATTTGCTTATCCCAACAGCTTTTACAGAGCACTAGGAAGGGCACATACCCCTTCAGTATTATGTGTAGGACACACGTGTGTTACGAAGCCTTGTGGGTAACTTGCAACAATTCTGGCTTTTTTCATTTGTGGGAAAACAAAATCAGGCTTTCTGTCTCTTTGAAGATCAGAAAAGTAAAGCATTTTCTTTCGTTTTCAGCAAATGGGAAAATTGTCACTTAAGAATCTCTGTTAAACATTGTACATGCATGTCCTCAGTGTGGAAGATGTGTTCAAGGGCACCCACCCAGTGAATTGGTTTCTGCATATGTATGCTTCGCATTCACACACAAAATTGATATTCAAGTGTAACTCATAAACTGAATGGTGAGAATATACAGTCCTTAAGTGTTGCTACCTGGTGTAGTAACGTATATGTGTGTTGTGTGCATGTACAGTGTATATTGCATGTACATATATACTGCCATGCAGAATTTATGGAACCACGTGACAAAATTCTGGGAGACTTTCATGTTGGAAATTGTAAATTTGTCATAAATGTGAGAAAATGAGAAGTTAAGAAGTTTGAAATGAGAAGTTTGAAAGCATTCAATTCAGATGTTAGAAATAAGTTCAGCTTGAGCAAACAGGGAGGGCTAGGAAATCTGAAATTTGTTGGCATGGTCACCGTGGTCGCAGAAATATCATGTCATCATTTTGTCAGCTGAACTATTGAAGCACTGGTGCCATATAAGCTGGCAGGTTTTACGATTTTGCACCAGTCGTACGATAACAGGTCACTGAGGTCAGGAAGTGAAACTGTCTGCCTATTTTGAGGAGAACTTTAATGGGTGAAACAACCTCGTTTCATTTGTAAGAGTTGATACTTTTATGTGAATAATACATTGTATTTGGTTTTCGTAAGGCCGTTATTTTTCTCAGTTTATATGTACACGCAGTACATGTATACCCTCAGTTGCACATTTAATTTTTGCAAGTATGGAAACCGTATTCAGACTCAGTTTACTTGATTTCACCAACATTCATAAGTTTATCTTGAATTCATAATATATAGCTGTATTTTGATGGAGAAATTTCATCATACTTTCTCAGGAAATTAGCCAATGTCAGTGCCATGTGACATCATGGGACAAATGAAATACAGGGCACGCATGCCATCAATTGAAACCTTGAATGTTCCAATAAAACTGTACTGATCACACCATCCTTTTGTTGCAGGACTTGCTGTCTTTGGGCTTAGTGCAAACTTTCTTCCTGGTGGTTTTGAATCCAGTCTTGCGATTGTCAAGTCATGGTCATATGGAGCAGCACTTTTGTTCCTGACTAAATTGTATGTTGTCTGGCCATTCTGTTATCACTACATGAATGGAATACGACATATGGTGAGTTAACAAATATACATTGGCATCTATTACATTAAATGTACCTTTACATTGAAGAGTATTTTTTAGACATGATCAAGACCTAATGTTTAAAAGTAATCTTTTGGCCTTAACTGAACCCAAGCCGTTGCTGTAGTTTCCACTTGAAGGTTGTAGAGGATTTGAAGTGATGGTGGCATGTAGAGCCAGTCACTTTTTCTTTACATTGTGTGCATTGGGTTTGATGTTCCATGAAGATTGGTGTACAGAGAATATGCCGTTGGACTCACTTATAGTTGAAGATTTTTGAGGATTAATAACCCCTAACCCCCTTCCCCGTATTTCTAGCAAATAACCTGAATCCTGCAGAAGCCTCCAATACTGAATTGTTAAAAGGCCCATTAACTGAATCTTCCAAAATTCTCCAGTGTGGTTTTTAACCATTGTTATACCAAACCATGAAATGACAAGAATGTCTCAGTTTGACATTTAAAAAACAAAGATGTAGCTTCAGAAAATAACTGATATTTTGAAGTGTCTTTGCACATTATGCTAACACTTTAATAAACAAAACACATTGACCACACCACTGTGGAAAATTGCCCAATCCGCTGACGACTGTAATTCACCGGCTGTCTTTTGCCGAATGCAGTGGGGTCACTTTCAGGGTCTCACCCTGCTTGTGCAGTACAGAGCCAGTCATAAGTCACTGTCCTGGGCCACTGTGTAAATACTGGAATGTCTGATTTGCATTTCATGCATTTGGGGGTGTCTGATTTCCCGGTAATTGTAAGGGTGAATTTCTGAAGGTCAGTGTGCTAAAGCTCCGTGGAGAATTGTGCATACATGTACATGTACATGTAGCCTGACAAGTGCAAAATTATGAGGTACATATACATGTGTATACAAATAACCTGAATCCTCCGAAACCATCTTTTAGCACAAGTCCCTAGTAACCTGAATCCTCCAAAATCATCTTTTAACACGTCTCCAGTAACCTGAATCCTCCCAAATTCTCATGTTTCCATTGAGCCTACTAACCTTGATCCTCCATATTCCTGTTGGGGCAAAAAACCCTAGTAACCTCAATTCTGCAAAGTCCTCCAATGCTTCAACTTCCAAGTAACCTCAGTCCTCCAAATTTCTGCATTTTGCAAAGAGGAACTAGGAGAACTTGGGAAGGTTAGGGTTTAAAAGCAGTGGCTAGTTTTGACTATGCCTTCATGGTTTTCTTTCAGGACTGTTCTTGCAGTAAAAGAATTACAGAAAGTAAATTTCTTTTGATAAGTGGTTAACTCTCTATGAAATTTGAAATATGTCCTTGATTTTTTAATTTGAAAACATTTTTTTGTAGATCTGGGATACTGGCCGAGGTATGGACATGAAATCAATGTACACAACTGGCTATGCCGTGCTGTGCTCATCTATAGCTGTTGCCCTTGCACTTGCACTCTGGTAATTCTTTGATCAACACATGTAACATAGTAAGATGCAATGTAGAGGCTGCTATGTGTACATGTAGATTTCATAGTTATGCTTTCTCGTTGAATGTGTCAACAAAGATGGCTGTCCGTAAGTGCAGTATACTTTCATCATTTGTGTTTCAGTGTTTTCTTCAGTTAAAGCAGACAATTGCATGATTTTGAAAAAAATTATAAGGAAGTTTAATTGCTGTGGGTTTCTCAGAAATGTGCTCTTTTATTTTTTTATATGAGTCACTTTTCATGAAAGTAATAAACACCGCTTGAACATGTACACATTGCATGTGTCCCATGTTCAAGTGTATGAAAAGGAAACTGAAACATTTGATAAAGTGATATGGGTTGATTTAGGCCGTTGTGATATATGCCCAACTGTGTTCTCAACATCATCACATTTTTATCACTTTCCATAACAATTATTTCCTTTTTCATTTTGACATTTATTACTGAGGAATGGAGAGGAAATTAAACAAAAAGGATACTTTGAGAAAAGAATTTCAAAATATCAAAAAGTTAATGACAACACTTTGGCGTGTGTATTGTTTTTGTTGTATTAAAAAAAATGATTCTTTGGTTTTTTTATGGCTCTTTCCTCCATGATGGTGTTTTTGATGCATGTAAAATTTCATTTGCATTTGAATTAGATGGCATTGGTAATAGTGAGAAAAGAATCAGTAAAGGCCGATTCATATTTCAGGGAAATGTGAAAGCAAAGCGAATTTGCCATCACAAAAAATTTGCAGCAAAATTTTGCTTGAGTAGAAATATGTTCAACTTTGCTAATTTATAATATGCATTTTTGATCCGATGTCACAAATTCACATTGATTTTCGCTTTCAGGCATAGTATGAATCGGCCTTTAGAATGGTCCTATCTGTGGGACACAGAAAATGATCGTACATGTAGGTTAGCCAGAAGATTTTAGTTTGATCTGTACAGGTGACATTGCACATTTTGTGAAATACCGTGAACTTGTATCAAGACGTTTGAAATGGTGATGCCTTTATGTAATGCTTAATGATTCAAAGATGCATATTCCTGGTATGTAACGGACTGGCCAAATGGTGAATCACATTGTACAGTATATAAGAGCACAGTAGTCCAAAGATAGACATGTATTAAACTCCCCCCAGAGTAGCCCACAGACAAAGGCAGATATCCAGCTTCATTGAAGTACAGGAATACTGTGGAGCACACAGATATGGGGAAAAGAAGTGCAGGGAGAAACTGGTATGAAAGTATCGAGTGTCAGGACAGTTCCAAATGAAGATTTTAGAGACACTTTTTGGGTTTGGTTTGTGTCTTTGCATGTTGTTTTTCATTGAAATGAAAAATGATGTGAAGTGTAGAAGACAGCTGTTAACTTTGATAGCAGCATAGAGGGACTAGGTCCTTTGCTGATGCTTTTACTGGACTTTAATATAAACTTACATGGATCCCGTGCGATCTATGCACATGTAAATAACTGCTGGAGTTTCTAGTTTGAGCAGATGACATACCGTATACTGTACATGTACATGGCCTACATGTGCGGTGATGTCAATAGTAGCCATGGGAATGTGCATACAAGAATCATTGTGATTCTTTTACAAACATGCTTGCATGTTTATGCATTTATACAATATGCTTAACCTTCAAAACTTTATTGACTGCCACATGATGACGTGTTCTCTGTAGCCATGGATGAGGTGTTTGTCTTGTTATGAAAACTTGTTTAGAACTGCATTTTATAAATGTAATGAATTAAAGACACATGTAATTGAATAAAATGTCAAAGATTGAATTGTTGAGTCACAACTCTTCCTTCCTTTGCCATTATTGTAAAATGAAAGCAATTCTTAATACAGGTATTAGACACACGTACATTCCTCAATCTGTTTCTACTTCTCATTTTTATTGAGCATACATGTACATTGTACATTTTGGCTGCATTGCTAAATATGTCAGTAAAACTATTTAAGAAATAAATTATGCACTGGTTTAGCTTGATCTCATACAAATTTGTAAGTTCGCAAGGTATCCTCACTAGGCATAATAGAGATTGGCTGGACAGTTTCCCACAGACAGTAATTACTCAAGATTCAGGTGGACTGTCCTAGTGATGACACAGGAAAAGTAATGGAGCTTAAAACCCCATGACGTCAGAATGTGAAACCGACTTTCCATTTGGAAAGTACAAGGTGACCGACTACTAAAGGCATATACAATTTTTACCATGTATTTTTTGTGGATGTGGTGCAGCTCCCAATCCAGTTTGAGTGTACATAACATACTTGTCATTGAGCTTAAAAGTTTTCACTCATTAAAGTTTTCAACACAAAATTTGTGGTGAACAAGTGTGCGAACATGCAGCAAAGCCAAATGCTATACATATTTATACAAACTTGTGTGGGTAATTAGTGTTTGTGGATTTGGAGAAACTAAAACTAAAAAAAAAATCAGATCGCATATTTCATCAAAAGTTTGACTTGCCATAAGATAGCGGGTATTTACAGATCTCATCACTTCAATCATACAGTCTGCCATATATCTATACATTTATGATACAGGGATGCATGTACATTAACCATATTTATGTTTGGAATTAAAGATTTTTATATTTACAAGCAGGCAAAAAATGAATGTATGGTTACAATTTGCAGTGTATGTCTTGCTCTTGTTTGAGCATAATGTGGCTTCAAACATAAGTTTACACAAATAATACAAAGGTTTGTAAACTAACATTCTTGGGCACAGACAAATTAGAAAAACTGTGGAGATTGTTGATTGTGATGTACTCATCAGGCACTGAGGTTATGACCCCTTCCCATCTACAAGTGCCAACTCTGGCAAGATGCTTGTGACCCTGCCCTCCATCTGCAAGTGACCCCTCCCCATCTACAAGTGCCTACTCTGGCAAGATGCTCGAGATCTTATGAGAATTCAGTGGAAGGATCACTGATACATCAATGAAGATGTGTGATAAATCCACAATGGTTTAGTACATACATGTAATACCTCTGAACAGTTTGCCTGTGCTTAGAGTTTTAGTTTACATCAACATAACACAGCCAAATGTGGACATTTATGTTAACAATGTGATAGTTGTGGTTACTTTGGAGTGCAGCTACATGTAGCCATATAGGTGCTAGTAACTCTGCAGAACTGTGCAGTAAAATGCACTACTAAACATGTATACATGTATATGTTGCTTGGGACATTCTTCCATGTACCTTACCAGTGTGAAGATGCTGCTCATTTGAGGACATCCAAATGGCAATAAGTTGTGCACCTGAGTGTTTCAGCCATGCTGACATTGTGATTTTTCCTTGATTCTTGTAAGCCTTATATTGTCAGCTGCAGTTTTGCCAATGTCAGCAATACACTGAACACTGGATAAAAACAATGCTGTATATAAAACATGACACTGTTTGGCACCAACCACCTTCAGAACCAAAAGGGGAACTACATTTGTTAAATCTGAATTTTACAGACAGAAACCTCATTAAGTTTCATGGATCCCAAACATCTTGTGTCTAATAACATTTATCAATGTGTGTCACAATGTGGCCTAGATGATCTGAACTCGCCGATTAAGCAATTGAAATCCCTTTAAAAGTACATGTATTATTCACTCTTGAGAAGGTGGGTCATGATGATATCTGTGGTAGGATCTGAACTACAACTAAAGGAAGTCATATTTGCACTTGGGCAAGCTAGGATATAAAGACTTTGAAGTAGCTAACCAAGTCAAGTGTAATCATTTCCAGTCCAGTTTTGTCTGCTATTTTAATCTTGTCCTGCTCAGTGGTTCTGTTTGTTTTGATTAAACTAATAACCCTCCCCCATCCCACATCCACTTCAGTAAGGTGTTTCCATGCCTTAGTTATTTTGTTTTCATTTATTTAATGTTTTTTTTTTGGGGGGGGTAAATGTTACCCTAAAGTCAGGTCAGACTTGATTTTCATATCATGCAACCAGGCCAAAAGGTTACATTTCAATACATGCACTTAGTATGTAAAATCCAATATCTGCTGAAATCTACATATTTGCTTTTTGGGCCAGCATACACAGTTAAAAATTCTACCCTCGTAAGTGCTTTGCATTCTGAAAAGGTGCACAAAAGTATGAAAGGCATTGGAAATAAAAACCAGAAAAAGGCATTTCCGGGTGTGCTTTCAATTTAACTGAGTGGTTTAACATATGGTTTTCAAAATGTATGCACAAAGATTGCATTTTTAAGCTAGGCCTCAAATCGGGCTCTACACGGCCTATAATGCTGACTGGGAACTGATGTAACATTTCACAGTAAAATCTGTCATATAGACTACAACAGCACAGGAACATTGCTCATTAATGTAAGATTGGCATTCACATGGAGAACCCAACTTTAACCAGAATACTTTGACCGTGGATACAAACAACTGTAAAACTGGTACTCCTGAATCAGTAATACTACATTCTTTTGTCTAAAAAATGACACTGCAGTCAATTTCCAAGATGATCTGTTAAAAGCTATTTCTTAGATTCTCTGTACATGTAACTTACAAAACTACTAATAAAACATACATGTATATGAGACGATAGAAAGTAATTATTTCACAAATTAGTTGGCTGTATAATTCTCATACAACATTCAGGGATCTAAAAGAGCATTTTGGACAGCAAACTTCTTCAGTCCTTTGCACAATCCTTTTTACTTCTCTAATGCACATCTTTAACAAATTAACAGTCCAAAGAACATTTATCATGCAACCATCAACGGTACAAATTCAAATAAAATTCTCCCACTGACAAATTAATGAGTCTGTTCCATCCAATTAGCAGATACAACCCACAGCTTCATGCATTTGTCTCAAAGAAAAAAAACGGAAAAAGAAATGCCAGAACTAGTGTCAAGGAATACTTTTTTCTATTAACGATGCATTCGTGCAAATTATGTAATTTATCTTAAGCTACATGTATATTAAATGTAACCTTACAATTTGAACAGATTTCGAATATTTTCACAATAAACTAACATTACTGTGGAGCTATGTACCTTATAAATAATCACTTTACTTTTGAAGGTTTTGGGTTTGGGTGAGGGCCACTTAAACATATCGCTGAAGTAGACTAAACCTATATACATGTACATGTATTTGTAAAATGTATATCTTTGGTAAAATAACAATTCCAAAAAGTTTGACTTCACGTGTTGAAAATATGCAAGGACACTTTGTTTTATAATGAGTTTCACTATGTTATGTTTTCTTTTGTTGCATTTCAAAACGAAGCTTTAGCCTTTCAATGATTTTTACACAGTAATGCTTTGAAAAATGGACTCACAGGAGGAGAATATGTTTGCTAATGGTAAAGACTAACCCTCTGAAGTTTATCTCTGAAACCCAAGTATTACTGCTTCAGCATCAGCAATTGGCTGTGCGCACTCATGATGCTGTTTCTTCACTATCTATGTATCCTTTTGGGTTTGCCTGTATCTTTCATCAAATCGGATAACTAAGGCCGTGAATGAAAAATATGTGGAACACCCTAACTATATCACCATAGTGGGTCAGCTTATCATTTCCAAATGGGCAGTATAGTTGGGCAAATTTCTTGCAAAAACAACCCGAATTTCAGTTTGCCATTAATCAGTTTTGCCCAAAAATTACCATGAATTAGGATTTACAATATGCTGAAGTTGCTGTATACACGTTTTCAATCAAAACTTTAGCATGATTAAGTTAAGTACACAAAGCAGCTCTTTTTGCATCTTGACAGGATTATTACATCATAAAACTTTGCTATACTACAAATCAAGCTATAAGCAATAAGCACATGTACATGCACCTCTTCAGCTACTTCATACGTTACATTGTCTTATATTGTGGACAAAACATCAACAATGTAACTCCACAACCCTACTCATTGTGCTGGGAAAAGTTAGCTTGATCACCTAATGGTAACGAACACAGGTCTGTATTGATCACAAATGTTGAAGACTACAGCTAGATACCGCAGCAGCACTTACTGCACTGCTTACAGTCCCATCAACACTGCTTACTACCTGACTAGTCTCCATATTACCCACCTGGCCCAATACATGACTACTGCAAAGGGCTCTGCTCCCAGTCATCATCTGTGCCCCAGACTGGGATAAGGGTGACACGGGAGTAGATGGATAGATGAAACAAGCCCGCTGTGGGCTGCCTGTATTTGGCAGACTGGACACTGTCTGGAGTCCTGGTGAGCTAGCACTGGGGATAGTCCGAGATAGAGGGGACTTGGCAGGTGGGGTGTAATGGAATTTTGTATATGTGCCTTTGGGTGAGTTTAACCATTGTGCTTTATCATGAGGGGAAGCTGGGGGTGGTGGGGTTAGGGTCAGTTTAGCTGTCATGCTTGTATCTGTACTGACCATAGATGTCAATGTTAGCTTGCTCTTAGCTGATGAGGCTATAGTCTTGCTGGTTGCTTTGTAGCTAGATTGCAGTCGGTTTGCACTAGTACCAGGTAACTTGGCTGACTGAGGACCTCCAGGTGACATGTTACCCTCTTCCATCTCATCCTCCCTGGAGTGCTGCATGATCTTTTGTCGAACCTCTCTGATTTTCAGCTGCAGGATGGATTTGGAAGGGAAAATGTCTTGATGCTGGGTCTGGAAAGCTGACGTTGCAGCAGCTGCAATGGAAATACCAACATAAATTAGTCCGTTTAGCGTGAAACAAGAGCACTACAAACACAAAAATTCAAACCCTGATTTCGTGTGACAGCTTTTATAGTAAAAGTCCACATTCTGGCCTGAATGTACAGTGGCATTTTCAAATGGAATATTTATGGTATATGCATTCTGTGAATGAGATAAGGCATTCTGTGTACAAAATGATGACATCCTGTGAGCTGACACACTTACGGTATGTGGATACACTAGTTAACCCCTTGACGACGGGAATTTCTTCCCGAAAGCGGACTCCAACAATTCCAGCCTCGCTTGGCCACGAAGGCCACCTGCCAAACTGCAAATTCTTGGTTTGTGGCCCTGCATGCTCTGCATGCTTTGAATTACACGGTGAAAAGGCCGATTGTTCGGTGGCATGGGGCTCTACTCACCCTTCCACATTCCCCTTGCCTTTTCTCAAAGTGAGGACTATTGTGAAGCTGGTGATTCTGATGCAAAGTCGGTCTTTTCATTTCTGGGTTATGCACATAGACCAATTACCATATATACAAGAGCCACGGTCTGCTTTCTTTCGCCGTGTTCGCTCGAGCGTGGGCCGAGAATAATAGCTGAAAAGCGAGCAGAGGATCTCAATTTTTACGGTGTGTTTAGCCGCCTCCCAGCGCAAAGGGGTAAATGAACAAACAGAGTCTACTGATCAACATAGGAAGATGTGCATAAAGATCATAAAGGTCTTCTGCCAGGTACCTGGTCAACTCAATGTTCTGCTGTTGATATCAATTTCCTTCCAAGTCAATTATTTCTCAGTGATATCACTGATGACAATAAGATCATCTGCAAATTGTGCATGCAAAATATGATTGATATTGCAGCCAAAGGAAGAATAATTATTATTTCAATAGGATGGGGGGGAATCCTCATGTGGTTGAAGTGACTACTCAAGTCATGAAGTGAGTGGGCTTAAAGAATTCACTACAGGTAAGGTAAGAAATTTATTAATGTATGCTATCAAAAACAAATGAAAGTCAATTTGTGTGCAAGTCACCGAGGCTGACCAATGCTCGTGCCATAAAAGGGAACAAGATTTGATTTAATGCAGTCGTGTTCAATTTCTAGGAGAAGTATCACAACGACATCCAGATGTCCAAGGCTTGGGGCAATTTGTGTCTTACCATTCCGACTAGTTTTTTAGACCAAGCATATACCTGTTAATGAGGTAACTTTTAATTACAAGAGGAAATACTTTGCATTGACCACAAACGAGGACCAAAAACAAGGAGGAAACAGCATAGTGACTGGGACTGAAAACTTGAGACAACCAAAGTCAGTGCAGTTGAAATTTGAGTTTGCCAATGTAAATGAAACATGGTGGCATAATTGATTCAAGATGAATGCTTTCCCAATGCATACATTCTATGGGTTGAATAGGCAATAACACAAAGTCTAAAGTAGTCACCAGAGGGGAAGTAGCCTTCTGATTTGAACAGCTGCATGACCAAGATGCGACGAGAGTCTAAGATCTTTCTCAAGGTGGAGGAGTTCTTCTCTGGTTCAAAGTCAAACTCTTCACATTCATCAGGACCTATCAAGAAGCAAACAGAGTCACATCATTATTTTCTTGAATGAATCATTTAATCAGCATATTTTAATGCATTATGATCAATGCACGTGCATATGCCACCAGCATGTCAAAAGATCATGTTATCACTGTCAGTGTTATAAACAGATAATGTTGAGGTTTTATCTCATCTCCCACTTCTACTCTCCTGTGACAGCATTTGCATTAGTTTTTGGCACATGACTTGCAGGGCTGACACCAAGCTTTATCAAATCACACATACCAATTATGAAATGGTTTTTGCCCTGACTGTATCAACTGAAAATTGTTTGAATTGATGAATTGAAGGATGAATTATACCAACAAAACTCTTTGTCTGACTGGCTTTTAACATTGCCAATTTAACTTCATACTAATTTTTTAATATGAGAGAGTTTCAATCCTCTTTGTAATGAGATCACTGATTCTGGTGATTAAAGATTATACAAATTTCTTTTATTAACAGCTTTACAAATCCAATCAACAAGAACTTCCGTAGGCTTTACACTCATTAATACCAAATCACATCAACAAGCAGACTAGAAAGCATCCCCCATAACACGTAATAAAAAACTGAATGAAATAAATATTACAAATAAAGTTCACCTGGCGTCCGATTTGGAGTGGACTGCTCTTCTCCTAACACCACCATCTTGTCACCAAACTTGAAAACTGTGTCTTCTACCATTGCTCGTTTGCCAGGAGTGTTAGGCTCAGAGCCACTTGACGGTCGTCGTGTGGGGGACTTGAGTCTTGGTGAGATGGGATCATTATCAGTGCCTGAGTCATCACCCTTACCTATGGGTCAAATCAGATCAAAGTCAACTCATCCATGGTGAACTGTTAAGCCTCATGCCCCAAAGCATTCAAGTAAGGAACCTTTCTGAATCTACCCAAATCCTCTAGTTTGCAAGGATCCAATGACACATTCCTGATACTTTTCTCTTCAAAAAGAATCAAGTTCCATGCTATAAAAAAGTCCCTTCCCAAATCCTGAAAAATCTTCCAAACAACCTGGCAAATTTTGAAGGATTTGAAAAGGTTGGCAAGGAAAAGCAAATGGCCAATCTCAATCTCATCAATGGGAAGTGTATAAGGGTCTCCTTGAGAGGGAATTGCAAAGAATACTGGTATAATGACGACAAGTTGGATTGCTTGTAAACGGTAACACACATGCAACTGAATCTGAAATTTGACACGCCTTAGATCCTGACAGCTGATTCTGCTGCGTCCTGTGAGTGTGAAATGGTCATAAGCTGAGATTCCTCTCTAAACTGCAATGCATACATTACAACTTCCTACCCTGGGAGTTATTTCTCTTCCTTCTGTAACTGCTAACAATGGCATGTGGAGTAAGAGGGATGGTGCTAATATCCTGGGCATGGTCTTCAGGATGGTACTCGGGTAACTCCTTAAACTGAGCCTCAAAATTCACTTCCTCTAGGACTCTGAACAAAAATGCATAATGATCACAGTAAGTTGAATATTCACTCCCATTTTAATAAATAGTGATGTAGACTCCACTTCAAGCATGTGTGAAGAACTGAAGAGGCTTTGATACTTAGCAACGATATCCTATAGGATCATCATGACTAGCCAGAAATGACCCTTTGCTGGTTATTTTATTCCCCTTGGTTTAGCTGATGAACACATACCAGGACAGGGCTATTCCCTCCCTCGTTCTACAAAGTTTGTAAATCACCACTGCCTTTGGAAGGATCTTAGAAAATAAAAGTTAAAGGTTACTGAATTGCCCGAGTATAACTGATTTATGTCCGACATGGATCTTACACATACCTCTCCATCCCATCATCAATATTCCTCTTCAGTATTGGCTTGGAATCTTTGGCCGGTGAAGTAGGTAGAGTAGATTCATTGCCCACTATGCCTAGCTGCTTGCCTGTTCCCTGATCTCTGGTGGTATCTGAAACAAGCCCCTGATTAGGTGTTCCTGGGACTGGTAATGCTGGCTTGATTGATAACACTGTTTTAGTTGTTGATGTGTCCACTGCATGATCTGTCTCTAAGTTAGTAGTTCGGTCAATGTGCATGTGTGTATCCTCATTCTGGATGCAATCACTGGTGTCTTTGTCCCTGTGTGGCTCATCACAGCTAACAGTTACCCCATCCTCCTCTGAAGTGTTCCTTGTGGACGTCAGTGTTTCATCATGATGCCTTGGTGAACAAGCCGATGTAGTACCAATCTTAGAGATCTGTCATTACCATCAGCAAAAGCATTCAAGATAAATAAACTGTTTTAGAACACTGTATTTTACATGTACATCCATATGCCCATTTCCAAACAGCACACGCATGTGAACAATAGGCTCTGAAAATCATGTGACATATGAACATTTAATGTGACACGCAAACATTTAATGGGTTACTAAGGTCAAGAATGGGGAAATAAAATTAGTGTTGGAACAGGATAGCATATTACATTACATTCTGCCCTCTATTTCCATGAAGTTTCTACAATATAGCGCAGAAAGTACAGTGATGTTTCCAAAGTTGAAATTCATCAATTAGAGTAAACCATTTTTGTTCTTGCATTAATTTTGTGAAACAATGAAACAAGCTCATTGTACCTCTCAGGATTTCATCTACTTTTTTTCCAAAACAGCCACTAGTATCTGTCCTTAGTTATCCATGACTACCCTACCGTGGCTGCATACGTGCAACATGATGGAAACACTAGTCTGGCTGTTTGACAGTAACTGTCAAACACACTGGTATCCGCATAGAAGTGCACAAACACGTAAGGCAATTACGGACACCAGGTAACTTAGACATCATGATTTAGCATGTACTGTGCATGCAAACTACTTGACATGGCATGGCTGGCCAGTCAGGCAGTTCATGAGGTATTTTAGAAATTATATTCTTAATGAAATACAATTTAGTCCCTTGAAGTATGTATAAGTTTTATATAAACCCACCTTTAATTTTTACTGTCCATTCTGCACAATTCTGTCGGTCATGTTTTACCATCCATTTCATCAAATCACACACTACCCATTAAAACAAACGGGGGGCTGGGTCACTGGAGGAGACCCTGGTACCTCTACTTCAATTCAATACATTAAGATTTGAATGAAGTGAGGTCTTTGTTTCAATACCAACCGAAGTCAGCAAACTGTGACTTTGAAAGTATTACAAAGCATGCATCTAAGAAGGGAACATGTCTCATCATCAAACTGTGAAATTCTACTTGTTTGCAACAACCACTGCACTAGTTATATTGTAAATCCATAATTGCAAATAATTTTCAATACTGACTCTACAAATATCTGACCTTTTTTTTGTGTGCTTTGACTCCACACTCTTCAAGTATCTTTTTATACTTCTTTCCTTTGCAAGCTCTTTGTGGTTTGGTGTCTATATCCCCCGTAGACTGATCTATTACTTCTACTGAGATGTGCTCTTGAGCCATGCTTGGCAAGTCACTATCAGTTACTGATGGAGAACAAGCTTCATTTGTTGACATCTGCTCTTGGCTGGTAGAATCCACAGCTCCACAATCAGCTATAGACTGTGTCTTTGAAGCAACAGTACTTACAGTGTTGTTTTCACCAAGAGTTGTAGTGTTTGAGACATTGTTTAAGAACTGACTAGTTGCGGTGCTGGTGGTTGCTGGTGCTGGACTTTGCGCTCTTGAAACTGTTTTTTCTTGTCTATCTGTTAGGGCTTCATGACGCTGTGCAACTACTGTAGTAGATGGAAAGCCAATGGGTTCCTGTGCATGAGCCGGTATATGCACTGATTCATTTATGTTGGTGTGTTTTAGTCTTGATTTAGAGTCATCCATGCCTGTCTGAGTCTTGGGCAATGTGGAAGTGACTGTTGCAGTAGCTTGAGTTGTAGCACAGGACTGGATAGGAGCTAGCTTGGGCATCATAAGATAACTCTGAGATGTGGTGGTCAGGCCTCTAGTGTCCTTGCCATGTTTACCGATGGGTAACTTGGTACCCATCCTCACAGCAGTGGCAACAATGCTGGAAGTGGCAACTGGAATTGTGGCAATAGTGGCCTTGACACGTTTGGTAGAAGTGGCAGGTAGGGTAGACATTGGGCTGGGTGCCATTTGCGATACTTCCATCCTAGGTCTGGCTTGTGTTGGGCAAGTAACTGACACCATAGGCAAATTGGCTGCTGTACCTGGGAATAATAACAGACATATTGCAATCATGACTACACATATTACCTCGTGTACAATATACTACGGTACCGGTACCTTTGAGCCTCGGATTGCTTCTGAATGAGAAACAATGATACCAGGCATGAAATCTGGCAAAGATATACAGACATCACCTTATCTTGATGTAACTGATCTATCCTCAAAGTACATGCACATATTGATGATCCTTCAAGTCATGTCTTCAAACACCCCAAAACTACCAAATTTTCAAACCATTGATGTGAATGTCCTGACAACAGTTCAGGGGATTTGTGAAAGGGACTTTATAAAAAACTGAAAACATTTTTTTTGTGTGTGAAGTAGGAACTTGCTGCTTGCATGCGTAAGCTCACGTGCATTTGGTGTGGGATGTGCTGAGCTTATGCGCCAATTTCCATTGAAATGCACAATCTTTGTATGTGCATTTAACAAGTATTCAGGCCCAGTTGAAAAATTGCCAAACAGTCTGTCTCCTCTGGTAAGGGTATGCTTCTTGTCAGAACACACTCAACATACACGAACTGATTAAAAATAACCTGCTTGATTTTCAGTAGAAACAAATTATATCATCACTTCCAAGGTACTTTTGAGACAGCAAATTTCACATTCTAAATTTTAACCATATTTAATAATATTTAACCATATAGGTGGTACGCACGCGTTACATGCCTCTTCGACCAATAAGGTGTCCTGATTTGCCAAATGCACACTCGCATCAAGCTGAAGAATGTGCATGTGACTGCAGTGCCACCACAGTCATGGCGTCTTATCGGATAAGTCTATAGATGACTATTGGAAACCAGAGTCCAGGCATTGGCTTCATTGTTACTTTTCAAAAGTCTTCTTGTGCAGTGAACATAAACACTGGGGATACTGAAATGAATACACCTGTGTGAAGTAGCAGTGACTATGAGAGCAACAAACTAATATGAGGGTGATGGTTTGATTTCATCTATAAAATACACACATCAATTCAATTGAGTGCATTACTGCACGCCATCCAGTGCTGTTTTCGCAAGTGTTCATTAGGAGATCGTTCGCAAAAATTTCATTTCACACTCTACACTCACAGCCATTTTTTCGAGCATAATGTACACTCGCAACTGTTGAACTGCAATTTTTTTCAGGCATGTCAAAATGGCCCAAACCCGTATTTATGGGGGAAAAAATGTGCAGTCGTATTTTTAGTAAATTCCCATAAGAAATACAGCAGAATCATATTTGTCGGCAACTCTGTACGAGGTCTGAGATAAAGCAAAAGCTGGAGTCAAAGCTTAGTTTTGAGAAAAGCTCCAAGATTACTCCTTACCAGTTGAATATACAGTCCTTGTCTGAGCAACCTGAGACATGGTTCCATTGCCAACTGAAGGAACAGGTGTAAGACTGACAATAACACTGTTACCAGTTACTGGTGGCTGCATGGCCACACTGACCATAGCACCAACTGGCAAGGGAGCTACTGAACTTGGGTTAGCAACAGGTGATGACTGCATGACAGCTGGCTGCAATGGTGAACTAGCTGTAGCTGGCTGTGGTGGCATGACAGGTGTATAAGCAAGAGATATGGCTTGATTAACTGCAGGTACAGTCATCAATGGTAGATGGCCCGATGTCATATTAGTGACTGGTGACTGACTGCTAGCTTGGCAGTTAGAGTGAGTCAGGTTACTGGTAGTCACGTGTTGAGGTTGACCAATGACCTGTTGTGTGATGACTCTATTTGTACCTGGGGACCACACCAGAGAAAAATTTCATCTTCATTGGAATATTTTGTCTTTGTTTTCCTCACATATTATTTACTGTATAATATAAGGATTTTTTGCTGTACAGAAAAATTGGAATGTTGCTCAAAGAGCAATAAAATGTTTTTTGGGGGGGTGCATTTTTTTCAAACCAGTCTTCTGTAATTATACTTTAATTTAAAAAAAAATTAACACTTTACAACAGTATACACAACAGAGTCCAATGATATTCCAAGTGCAAACTTACATGTACATATATGTCTTGTCTTTACCGCTCAATGAGCTTAACTCTATGACATAGAATGATCATCTGGAATGTTAATCTTGGCCTGGTGTGCCAACAGTAACCATGTATCACTTCTTTTTCAGTGCACTCAAGAATTTATTCCAAGAACTAAACCCCTGCATAAAAAGGGCAGGCTGGTTGTTTTGAGGTGTGGTCAGTTTGGCTGTTTTGCAGTAACTACATTTTCTTAATGCCCCCATTTTGTTTGTTTGTTTTTTCCTTTTTTCTAAATTTCTTCCAGCTATGAATTCCATTTCATTAGTATTCCCTTGAACCATGCCCTTTTACTTTGTAATTACTCCCTTCATTTTCTTTATATTAATTGCTATTTTCTGTAGGGCCTACTATTTTTTTGCCAATTTACAACAATTTGCACCTGATTACTTTTGTACTGTTGGACCATTCAGGTAGTGATGCACTATTTACAGACTTTGGTCCGTTTTATTACTGATACCTTTAAATGTTGCCAGTTGGTTGGTAGAAACTACAAATGGACCAGGGGATGCTGGTGTAACAGGAGAGGTGTTGTTAGAGGGCTGCTGAAGAATAGTCACTCTGAACAGGAACAACAAAATATTGAATGACGTCAAGGTTCTTTCTTAAACCTCAGCTTCATCTACAACATCAGGAGAAATGTATCAGTTCAGGTTCTGTTTCCAGCGCATCAAATCCTTAAATAGGAGGCCACCAATACTATTTGGATTTGGTTGAGACATTACAAGCTTCAACAAAAATTCTTCATGTCAATAATGAACCCAAGCCCTGGTTTTAGTCTGCCAAGGTCTTTCTCATTTCTACACATTTTATTGCACAATCACCTCCTTCATAACACAATTCAGTTAAATTTTAAATGAATGTACAGTTCATTGTTACTGAGTGAAACACCTAAGTGTGGAATGCTTAGGCCCAAAGGGCACTAAAATACACCTTTTTATTTGATGCATCCAACACATACCTTTGACTTGAAGGCAGCAAGAACTTGGTATGAGTCTGGCCTTTCTGTACCAATGTGGATTGGTTACCAGACACAGGAGCCACAGGGATGCCAGCAGCAACAGTTACCACTGGACTATATGGCTGAGTCATGATGGTTACTGGCTGAGAGACTACCGTAGATGGATTGATATTAAATGACCTCACTGATACGCACTGTGATTGGTTGACATGACTCGCTAGAGGTGAGTTGGGTAGGGCATTCACAGGTAATGACTGAAGCATCATATGTTGGGTCTGATTCAGTTGGCTTGATGAACTGGCTGAGGTTTGGGAAATAGCAACAAGTTGAGGTGTCAGGGGTGCCTGAGTTGCGACCAAAGGTATCATCTGAGCATTATTGGCTGTCAACATCTGTGCAGTCAAGACATTGCCAGCTCCTACCACTGGACTGGGTGACTGTGGGGCAGTGTTGGGCTTGGCACTTGCCACTACAGCTAAGTGATTGGTGGGTGTGGCTTTGATGGTCAACTGACTACTAATTGGAGGAGCCAGTTGTATAGGGCTTGTTAACTGGAACCCAGAAGGCACTGCTTTGGCAGTGCCACCAGGGACCTGTGTTGGGATAGAGGGGAGTATATACTGCAGATGAGCAACCCCTCCACTGGCTGTCAGTGTTGCAGGGGTAATGGAAACAGGAGTAGTGACTGCCTGATTGGTTGCCAATGGTTGAGAAGTGGGTAAAGACTGACATATGAGTGAGCTCAAGGGCTTCACATTCAAATTTGCTAATACCGCTGCAGTGCTCTGGGATTGAGGTTGACAGGCAGCCACTTGTACAGTGTTGCCTTTCTTGACTTGTGAGATTGTTTGCAGTAATTTAGTAGCATTCATCTGTCCCCCACCAGTAGACAATAAAGATATTGGTTTACAAACTGGCATATTCATGACACTGGGAGGTAATGTCTGAGCAAGTGCTGTGTCTTGTGGCTTTGCAGACTCTGATTTCAAATTGTCACTGCTTGACGCAGTACTTATTTCTTGGATGTACATGTACTGTGGACTGACAATGACAGAACCCTGGTTTGACTGGGTGGCACATTCTGAAGCAGGTCGGGCCTTGCCAACTATAGCTGAATGACTCTGAGGCAAGCTGACAATGACTGAGCTGGCTGGGCTTTGGTTGTCCACATAAACATCTGCAGCGTGTACTGAATTCCTTGATGTGCTTTCGGAAGAGTTTCTCGGATCTGGGTCTGTTGGATTTGCTGGAGTGATAGCAGAATGTTGTCCCTGTTGTGAGATTGCAGAGCCACTTCCCGACATTGACTTCAATGCCTCAGATGACTGAGGGCCTATAGCCCTCAGAGAACTCTGTTCATCACGGTGTGTAGGCCCTTGACTTGAATTGGTGGAACCTGATTTAAACTCAATTTTGGAGAAATGTCCACGTGTGTCTTGATTTTCTTTATTTGAGGGATGGTATTCATAAAAAGCTTTAGCTTTACAGTCTGACAGGGGATCTGTTCGACTTCGTGGTGAATGAGCCTTGAAGACGGCACCTGTTGGCTGGAAGCTGTTACCGCCAGATGCAGGCCGTGCAAGTGAATGAGAACCATCATGGGTAGGGCCAGCATCTGGTTGATCAACTCCCAGCTCAGTCCTGATTGGTGAATTAGAATCTGGTTTAGCTTTGATTGGCTTGGGTCTGTAGGTGATGTCTGATGCAGACAGGTGTTTCATGACTGGTGAGAAACGTTGTTGAGGGAAAGCTTTGTTTTCAATCATGGTCTCATCTTCTGACTCCGTTTCAGAGTCACTGTCTGCCACATGCTCCTTGCATTCTAGATCAATGTGCTTCACCTCTTGAACACTGCTTACTTCATCATCAGCTGTAGTCAAGACAAAATAAAACAAATCACTCCAATTTTGTAATCCATCAAATTCAAAGACCATCTTGTTACGACTGTCACTGACATGAAACAAAGGTTTAGCTTCTGTCGAGTGCGTACTTACTGCACTATCTGAAAGATTTTTTAAAAAACAAAACAAAATAAACGCAACAAAAAACCAAGAGCACACCATGTTTTTAGATAGGAGCACAGTGAATACCATAAACTCCTTTAACCCACACCTGTACAAATGGACTGAGTTAGCCCAGGTTGGATGACTTCTTCATTACATTACAATTAACGTCCAGGATAAACATGTAAAGGCATCCTAAGATAGTCAAAGATTTTACAAATATTTTTTCACATTTTCACCTGATGGAGGTAGCTGAAATCTTGTTCACATGTTCCTCATGTCCAAAATATCCAATTGCTTGTCACACAACAAGCATGTCCTGCATACCTACAGCCCTACCACACATGCGCAGGAGAGTACCAGTTGCTATGCACACATGCGCAAGAGAGTACCAGTTGATTTACAGCTCAGTGAAGTCTTGGGCATGGCTCGGACAAGCAGAGGTCAGCCTGACAACAGCAGTTATAAGTTACACTCTATGATTTCCTTACATTGGATTACCTGGTTGAAATTATGTGGAACTTGATTATTTTTGCCAATGTTCCAAAATTGTGATTTTGGAAAACTATTTGTTTTCTGGTATGCACAAGCTTGATTATTTTCCATTATACCAGTAGATGGTCTTTGTATGTTGATGTACAGGGTGTTTTAAACAAAAGGAAACCAAGATTAAATTCTTCATTTCTTGGACATGACTTTTTTGGTGTCATAAGCAAGAGGACATAATTAGTCACTAAATGGTGGTTGCAAATTTCCAAAATATTTAGCTATGTTCAAGAAATGAAGAAATTAATCTTGGGTTTCTCTTTTTTTAACACACTGTATATGGTCTGCGGAGCACTGATGTCCTTGGGACCCTGTTTATTGTAGGCCCTGACAGTTGGATTTTGCAGTCACTATTCCACTTGCTGAGTGAAACCTGTTCCACACCCTGCAGGTGTCTTTGCAACAGCCTGATTGTTCTCTACAGTGTCATACCATCCCCTGACTGTCTTTGCCCTGTGACTTGGACGATGGGCGTTGGAGGAAACAGCTGTGACAAGTGCAATTAGAATCTCATATGAACCATTTAATTACCATATCAAATTCCTGATAATTTCTTGATAATTTCACAGAGTTTCTTTAACTTCTGGTAGGTTGTTCTGGGAAATTTGTAATACTTGATTCTTTGATATTTTTGCACCTGTTTGTATTGTTGCACGTCTTTGAATGTACACTTTGCTGATTGCTGTACAGGTTCCAATTGATAATTTACTAGTGATATGGGCAAGAATGCTGACTTGATACCAAAGTTCTTTGATTAATTTATTGAATGCTAAAGTTTGGTAAAGAGTCTGTTTCATGAAAAATAATGCAAACACAATTCGTTCGAAATCTAATTTATCTCGAAGCCTGTAAAGTATTGAACTCATTTTTTGAACATGCTGGTTTTTTTTTCATATTTCCTAGGACCATTAGAGAATAGATAGATTGAATCTAATTTTAGACAGATTTAAAATAAAGGAAAAGTGGAACATATTGCTGACAAACGAATATGATGTGAATTTATGGATTGGAATCGCACATATTGACTGAATTGAGTATTTTCCATTGATTGAAGGAATTGAACAGTATAAAACAGAAACTGGTCAGCTTTAAAATTTCAGATATTTGTAATTTAGCAGGATAACTTACTGACATTTAATTAGTCACAGGTCAGGTACTGTGCACTGAACCATTTGAGACAAATTTTTAAGTGACTTCGATAATTCCAAAAGTAGACATTTCCTTGCAATTTCAAACTGTACATAATTATTTAAATAAATTTAGGTGCATATGTTCTAAATATTGAAAATTTGTGTGTTACCATGTTGTTTTTACGAGAGTACCGGTAACTATGATGGTCATACATGCTTGCAATGCAACTTGTCTCATGCTTGGGCCGTGGGAAAGCAGAAATGATCAATTTTGACTACACATACTGTCATATTATGTACATGTATATTTTTCAGGAAAAATCCATACAATTTTACATGGCATGTACATGTGATTTTCTCAAAATGTACACGTGCTGGAAGAGAAAGGTCTGGGATTCATCCATGATAGCAGTGCACACAACGCTAGGGCTGGAAATTGGGCTAATCATCATGGGAGCAAGTACTTGCTACCCAGACAGCTGAATTTGTCACTTTATGGGAGCAAGTAGTTCCCATAAAATATTAAAGACATATGTTCAAGAAAAAAAGCAAAGACCCTGGTCCTTGCTGTTGCTTTTGTTTAAACCAATGACACTGATAACTTACGGCTTAGACTTTGGCAGATATTAAAGCCTTGATCGAATTGTTATTTTGGCAGGTTGCACGAGACATGGAACTAGTAGTGGATATGCGACCTACCTGAACCACAAACATGTGCTTAGCGACGCTACGCAAAAAGTCGGGCACTGGGCCTTTATGAGGTGCATATGCACGCAGACGTAAAAGGGAACTAAGTGCAGTGATTGAGTGTTTTTGAAATGAGTGGATTAGGCTGAGACTTTGGCTTTGCTGGTTCCAGTTATTTTGGAGCATGGTTCAAAGCCACATGTTCAAGCTATGACTGGAACCAGCGAAACTGAAGTCTAAGCCGAATCCACACATTTGGCTTGGATTTACGCACAAGTGGCCAGTTTCCATACAGTCGTGACACTGGCCATGGCTATGGGTGTGTGTGTTCCTGTGTGTGCATGCATCACATGCAAGACTGCGGCATGCGCTTGGTGGCGGTGTAAACAAAATTGTACCGTGTCATGGTTCCATGACAAGGCTAATCCAAAATGAAGTAAAAATCTTCAGGTGTTTTTCATGACAAAAGTAGAAACAAATGGTAAAAATGGTCGGGTACGTGGAATCAAACGGGTGTAAGTACTTGCACCCGTCATTATGATTTATGGAAGCATTTCTGAGACAAACGGATGCATTTTAGCTACCTCCGCCTGTAAATTTCGAGCCCTGAACACTATGTTGGGCGACTTACATAAACACCAATGCAGCATTCACTGACTGTACCAACAAACATAAACGGATGTCGCCGCGTGACTTTTCACTGACACCTCTTGCAAACCGCAGTGCAGAAGCCGAAGCCAATGCCAAGATTTTTTAAATACTGACTTACACAAACGATTTTGTTCTGCTGTTTGTAGAAATGGGACTGAGAGTCACACGCCCACTTAGGCAAAATAACGACTTATAAAAGCCAACTTAGAAATAAACATTATGATGGAAATGATTGGGACTTTCGTAAGACTGCCAACTTGAGCGATTTGCCAAGTTGTATGATGTCGACTTAGCCAGAGTTTACTCTGTACACATCAGTTTATAAGACAGCGTCACTGAATGAACTTCAGTCACAATTTTTCTTATCCTGTTCCATAGTTGTGGGGACAAAATTTTATGTACAGTCGACTCTCATTAATACGAGGGCCTTGGGACTTTCTCAATTAGCTCGTATTATCCAGACCTTGTCTTACGCGAAAGCTGCTGTTCCGCTTGTCGCACGTGTAACCGATCGACCTCATCGTTAAGCGTACATCATGTAAGCAAACATCGGTACATACATGTAGGCCTACATGTACTTTGTATGCACGTACGTGTGGTTTGGAATTTAATTTCAAAACAGTTTATGTTCATGAAAGTGAGAAGTAACTGTACTTTTTATGAATAAAGACTTGAAATAAAGAACAATTACATAATACCAGAACGGAGAAACCGGTCAAGTCGAGTTCCAGGATGCATGGTTGGAGCAATGCCGTAAGTACATCAACATTTTAGGTGGTAACCAACATCAGTGCTGCGCTTGTTGCACAAAAAGGGCGGGAACCAGTTATTGGTGGTGTGGATTGGTCAGTAGAGGGCTTCACTTGGTGAGTGAAAACCGCAGCGCATTACTACTATACAAAATCAATGACGGAAGCGCCTTTCCGAATTCAAAGGATTGACTGAGTGACAAGCCTTTAAAAACGCTTGTGCTAATTAGACGGATAACAATGCATTTGCACGCAGCTGGGGCCCCCAAAATGCTCGTCTCAAACGCAATCTCGAAACATGCAAGTTCGTATTATGGATTTTTTCCTCATAGGAATGTGCATAACTCAGTCGGGACCGGAAAATATACTCGTCTTAACCGGAGTCTCGTCTTACCCAAGCTCGTATTACCGAGAGTCAAGTGTACAGTGCATTTATGGGAACTGGAAATGTTGTGGGCACCAGGAATGGCACAAAATACAAGTGTGACATCCACTGTTGTACATGGGTTTAAGCAGCAGCGTGATGCCATGGATCAACCAATCAGAACCAAGGATTTAAGCTTACTTGAAGACAATATCTTGTATACACTCCTTTTCAAGTGTAGGATGTTAAAAATACTGTTCATGCAATCAACTGTTTACTGCCACAGTATTCCTTGGTTTGTTTGCTTCTTACAGAACAAGCCAACATTTTGAATGTCCAACCTAACTGCACCAATTTCATAAAACAAAGCTTGTTGCTCTGTGCGACATGTGTGTATTTTACCTTTTGCAGTATGCATAGCACCCTGTGCCTGCCCTCCTGTTTTGAACGTACATGTGAAAACAAACTTCATGTTCAACAGCAAAGCAT